GCACCGCAAACAATTTTATTTCACCGAACACCGCAGCGTGAAAAACACAAACATCGCACACCGTAGGGTTGGAGATCACCGCAGTACCGCAAGTTGAGATTTTATTCACCGCATCACCGCATTAAAAAAAAAAACATCAACACCGCAGCACCGCCAATCCCCATGTCCCCCTCCACGAGCGGAAAAATGTATGCGATACTGAAACTATACCAGATATATTAACAAATGCAAATAACTGAAAATTGCTTACAACGCGGATGCTTTGGTGAGCTCCATCAAAGTTCTGTAATTCTCTGATGCACATCTTGAAGGACCACGTTGTAACATCTTCTACCCACACAGAAGAAGCATCATGTTTTACACCACGCCTTTCATGCTCCGCTGACACAAGCACAGTGGGAACAGATTTAAACTTACTCTGTGGAATATAAACAACAAGTTATTAACCTGGATATAGGCATTCTGTTAAGTAAACGATCAGGGATGGATTTCACCCTAATTTCGATGTAAGCTAATCTTAATTCCACCTGGTGAACAGTTGACTATACATAATCATTTACTGCAACAAATATTTGTGTTACACGACTGTCTAATTCAGGTGGCTAACGACTAAAATGAACCAATCAGATCGCTATATTGCCGGTTCAATATTCTATAAGTATTGAACCAGACATGACGCTGAACCGGATGGTCACGCGTTCCCTTTCTTGAGAGCTTACTTTTCTATAAGAATTAACTTTGTAAAAGATTCTTTTTTCGTTTTCCCGAACTTTTTCTTCTTCTTTTTGCAAGATGCTAGGCGTTAGTAAACGAAGAGTTGGCTCTTATTACGAATTGTGCGCTTATCATCAGATCTGCGGTGTGTTATTGTTTGTGGTCCGGTGAGATACGTATTTTCTCCGCATTTTCAGTCGTGTAATAAATCTTTCATGAGGAAGCTTGCTCGTAACCGTACAGAGGGAATATCAGCCCTTTGTCTCGAATAACCCTCTCGCGCTTGGTTAGTAGGATTTGTCATTTTTATATTAATCTCACCCAAGGTAAGGACACTGCACGACAGTTCGTTCCAGTCCACCAAGTCGGCATGTCCATTTCACCCGACACTCCCCCGTCAGGGGCCCCTTGGTATGCTAACCAGTCAACTGTGGCAAGTTCTTGTCCATTTTTCTTCTCATTTCTCCCAGCCTGTGTAACGCAAATTGTGAAGTTCTTGTCCCTGATGTCTTCAACCCAGACCACCACGGCTTCGTGAACGTAGCTGGGATCTGAGAAATTC